CTGATTGATTATTGGCTTTTATGTGTCCTTTTTTTGATAAGCCTTATGTGTTTTTTATCCTTGGGTGCCTCCTTTGGTTCCCTATTTACCTCCCCTGCGTTTGCCGCCGCTCCCCCTGTCTGTCTGTCCGTTCCCCTTTCAGACAGGGTTCGCGGCTAGCAGGGGAGGTTTCTCTCTGGAGCCCTGTGCTCCCCGGCTTCCCTTCCCCTCGCGGCCGCATGTGCGGCCGCGCTTATCGCCCGACCCGATCTCCCGCTGGTGCGAGGGAGTGCCGGCCGCGTGTGTGGTCGCGCTCCCCGTTTCACTAGCGGGGGAGGAGCCTGGAAACGGCCGCGGCGCGCTCTGCACGCGGCGGCCATCTTCCCTTCGTTTCTCCACGCGGCTGGGTCGGCTCCCTTCTCCCTCCCATACTGTATGCAAGTATTATATGCTTAGTTTGCTGGTGGGTTACTCAACCCCTCTTTTCTCCTGTATAGGTCATTTGTTAGTTCATTTAAACCTTTACAGATTTTGCTCTGCTCCTGTATCAGATTTAAAGGGACAGTACTTGTTGCCTTTATTTGGTTTTTTGATAATTATGCAGGCTAGGGGTGAGGATTCGGGTAGTCCCAGTTACCCCATTATGGATCCCTCTCAGACCCCCATTACAGGGGATATAGGCCTTACTCCCTCACAGGAGTTCCAGGCCCTTTTTGATTCCACCATGCAGAAGGCCCTGGCTTCGGCCATGGGGACCGTGTCCTCGTCCCTCTCTCACACTATTCAACAGGCGCTGTCGCAGCCTTTGGGCCCTGCCGTGTTGCCTGCTCTCCTGCCTGCGCTGCAGCCTCATACGGGTCGCAAGGCACAAACAAAATTTAAACATGTCTCTCCAGAGATGACGCAGGTGACACCTGCCTTGACTGACGTGCCTATGGCCGTCCCAGATGGCGCGTTTCCGCGCAAGAGAGCCGCTGGCCGGGCAAAATCGTCCAGAAAATGGAAACGGGCACGTGCCCGAGATGATGATGGATCGGATACCGATCAAACTGGAGAGTCAGACTCGGATCCCCCTGATTACGCCTCCTATGAGGAAGGGGTTTCCGGCGATGAGGCGGAGTTTGACGCTTCGGCGCTTCCGCCGGGTGAGGGGCAGGACATCTGTGATCCTCAGGGTTACCCCCTGTTCGATCCCGATGACCTTCGCCATCCCCGCTCGGCGGAATGGGACCCGCCCGCGCATATTGCCAATTATCTGGCGCTTCGTATGCGTACCCCCCTTTCCAAGGAGGGGCGCAGTAAACTGAGGGCCGAGTGCCCAAGGCCTTCGGTGCCTGATTCGGCGTGCAAGACGCCAGAGGTTGACCCCCAGATTTCTCAGTTCTTAACTAAGACGGGTTGGAAGCCCCGAAAAGGACTGGAATTTTCGCTGCATAATTGCCAAGACAAGATCTTGGATACCCTGGGCCCCGCCGCCAAGCTTTACGAGCTTCTGGAAGCGGCTAAGGCTGGAACGAAGCCTATCGATTTTGATGAAGCGATTGGGTGGGTCCAGAGGTTGATTTGCCTTCTCGGCAACGCGAACACAGCCATGTCGGCTGAACGCCGCAAGGCGATTCTGCTCAAAATTGAGCCCAAGTTAGTTAACCTGGCAGTGAAGGAGCCTGGTGCTTCGGCCAAGGGTATGCTCTTCGGAGAATGTTTTGTTAAGGACTTAGGCTCCTTTGTCCGTACCTTTACCGCGCTAGATAAGGCGCAGTCTAACCTGAAGAGGGTGTTCGGCCCTAAGGTTTCCCATGGGGCCGGGAGGTATAGGAGCCGTCCGCCCGGCCGTGGAGCTCGAGGTCCCCCGAGGACTCACAGAGGTTCCTTTTCCGCCCCCCGGACCTACCAAGACTATAAGCCAACGCCCTTTTTTCCCTCACGGTGTAGACCATGGCAGAGTCGGGGAGGTCGTGGACAACCCTCATACAGACGCCCTTACGGTGAGTACACCAACACGTGTATCTTGCAGAACGAGTGTGGGGGGCAGATTGGCACTGTTTCTCGATGTGTGGGGTATGATCACCACGGATGTTTGGGTTCTCAGTGCGGTCAGGGGTTTCCGCCTGGATTTATTGTCTCCCCCTGTCCAGACGTTTCTCCCACAGGAACTGAAATTACCAGCAGAGCAGGCCGGATTAATTACCGCAGAGATCGCAGAACTGTCTGCCAAACGGGCTATTCAAGAAATCCCCTACGGACACCCGGGATTTCTAAGCAACCTGTTTCTTGTCGCCAAGAAAGGCGGAGGCGTACGTCCAGTGATAAACCTCAAACACCTCAATTCTTTCCTACGTTACCATCACTTCAAGATGGAGGGCGCTCATTGTCTCAGGGACCTGCTCCGTCAGGGAGACTGGATGGTCAAACTAGACCTCAAAGATGCCTACTTGACTATACCCATGGCAGAAGAGCATTGGGATTTATTGCATTTTACGTGGCAAGGTCGTCGATGGCGTTTTACATGTCTGCCGTTCGGTCTATCTTCAGCTCCGTGGTGCTTCACGAAAGTGATGAAGCCCGTGGTGGCCTTCCTCCAGGCGCGAGGGGTCCGCATGATTATCTACCTGGACGACATACTGATTATGTCTTCATCCCCCGAGCAACTTCTCAGGCACCTAAGATGGACGGTGAGTCTCCTGGAGAGACTAGGTTTCCTCGTCAACTGGGAAAAATCCATTGTGACCCCGGTACAAAGGATAGAGTTCCTGGGCTTCGAGGTCGATTCAGTCACCCAGTTTCTGTTCCTCCCGGAGGCAAAACTCAGATCGATGAAAAAGGAGATACGACGGGCGCTGCGAGCCACCTCTCTCTCCGTCCGGCAATTGGCGAAGGGTGATCGGCCTGTTGGCCTCATAGATTCAGGCAATTTTTCCGGGCCCACTGCATTATCGAGCACTCCAACGTTTGAAAGGGTCCCATCTTCGCTCAGGGGGCTCGTACGAGAGCGTGTTGACCCTGGACGGGGACTCCAGAGACGAACTAAGGTGGTGGCTGGACCACATGGAGGCCTGGAACGGCCGGGCGATCTTCGGCTCCGCGCCGGATGTGATAATAGAGTCGGATGCAAGCCTGCATGGCTGGGGCGCTCGCTGTGGCGGTGTCTCCACCGGTGGAAGATGGTCAGAGATCGAATCGGCTCTGCACATAAACTGCCTGGAACTTCTGGCGGGTTCGTTTGCCATTCGAAGTCTATCTCCGACGCAGGGAAATTGCTGCGTCCTCCTACGTATGGACAATGTGTCCGCTGTCAGGTACATAAACCACCTCGGGGGGACAAAATCGAAGCAGTTGGCGAACTTGGCAAAGGATTTCTGGCAGTATTGCCTACACAATGCCGTATCGGTTACGGCCGAGCACATTCCGGGTCTGGACAACGAGTGGGCGGATTGGAACTCGCGCTACCTGAAGGATTCAGGAGACTGGCACTTGCTGTCCTCAACATTTCAAAGGATAGAACGGTTGTGGGGTCCACTTCACCTGGATTTGTTCGCGTCCAGATTGAACACCCAACTACCCCAGTACTTCAGTTGGAGACCGGACCCAGCGGCCACGGCAGTGGACGCGTTCTTGCAGACGTGGCCGCCGGGACGCCATTATGCGTTCCCACCGTTCAACCTGATATCCCGGACACTGGCGTACTCGGCCGGACAGAATTGCACGATAGTGATGGTAGCTCCGCTCTGGCACTCTCAACCGTGGTTTCCCCGCCTTCTGGAGATGGCCATAGATTTCCCACGGATAATCGAAATGAGGCCGGATGTGCTTCTGGATCCGGATGGGAAATTGCACGAATTGGTGGATCAGAGCTTACTTCAACTCACGGCTTGGCTAATCTCGGGAGACCCTGGTGTGTCACGGACGTTTCGCAGACAACTGCTCGACTATTGGAGAATGCCTGGGCACCAGGTACCAGAGCGGCTTACAGGACCGCATGGCGCGTGTGGTCTGGCTGGTGCTTGGGAAGATTGCTGGATCCACTTTCTGCCCCTCTAAATGCGCTGCTTGGTTTCCTGACAGAACGTTTCGATTCTGGTTTGGCTTATCGTACCCTTAATGTTTATAGATCAGCCATTTCGGCCGGACATCAAGGGATAGACGGATCTCCGATTGGACAACATCTTATCGTGTGCCGCTTGTTGAAAGGTATCCGTTTTGCTAGACCGCCAAGATCTAGATACTCATCGTTTTGGGACGTTAACGTCGTCCTTGGATTCTTGGACTCCTGGCCCTGTAATGAGGACTTGACACTCAAACAGTTATCATGGAAACTGGTCATGCTTCTGTGTCTACTTTCGTGTAAGAGGGTGTCGGACGTCAGGGCTCTGGACTGGAACGCGGTCTCGTTCACCCCCGGAGGTGTGTCGTTTAATATCTCGAGGAGGACTAAGTCGGCTTCCAAGTCGGTGGACTACCCTAGATGCTCCATCAGACCTGCTTTGTGTCCTGTGGCTTGTCTCCAGGTTTATTTGGATCGTACCCGGCTGCTGAGGTAAACTGACTTGCCTCCACTCTTTATCTCCTTGAAAGCACCGTTTCTACCGGTCTCGTCACCGACGCTTGCCCGCTGGGTTAAAGACCTCCTCTCGGCTGCGGGTATCGATACTTCGATTTTTTTCGGCTCATTCAGTTAGGGGTGCCATGGCATCAAAGGCTTCTACGATAGGATGTCGCCTGGACGATATCTTGAAAGCGGCAGATTGGTCTAAGGAATCTACGTTCCGTGATTTTTATTTCCGCCCGATTGAACATGTTTCTTCATTGGTTGTGGCTCAGCTTTAAACTAGCATAATAGGAGCCTCCGTGTCATTAATAAAATTCCCATATTTTACTATTAACATGACGTAAAGTCATGATTTTATTAATGACACGGAGGCGAGTATTATTCCCACCCACCCTCCCGTGGGTCTGGGTCTGGTTTTTCGCTTAGGGTTCAATCGGGGGATTTGTCTTATCTCACGGTAAGTACACATGTGTTACTTGTATTGAACATATGGTGTTTTAGAGTGTGACATATGTACATGAATTTGAGTATGATGCTCTCTATTTGCAGGTCACGTATATTCGATATGTTGCACTCAGTTCCTAAGTTTGGAGTTTACCACATATTTCTTTGTTTTACAGCTTGATTCCGGTCTGTTAATGTCTACTGGTTTGACGTTTCTTAGTTACTGCTTGGATATTTTGCTTTGGGTCTTCGGTTCAGAAGGCAAAGAAGAGGAAGTGGAAGTACAAGGATAGAGATTTATGGACTGTTCCTAGAGACTGATTGGCTGCCCTGTTACTAGGCAGATCTGGTTGTACCTGTTATTATTTTATTGCATATCTAATTTTTTTCTCTTTCAGTTTTATATTTCTCTTTGCTGCTGAGGAATAAAGTAAGAAAGAGATAGCATAATACTCGCCTCCGTGTCATTAATAAAATCATGACTTTACGTCATGTTAATAGTAAAATCTGGCACTATGCGAATTCCGTACCCGGCTAGGGGCAGAGGCAAATGGCGCCTGAATGAAGGTCTATTAGACGTACCAGCACATCTTCAACGACTACAGGTCCGGGCTGCGGAATTTTTCGCTGACCACGTTGACTGCTCGTCATCCGACACCACAAAATGGCTAGCCCATAAGGCGGTCATGAGGGGAGAATTAATCCAGATAGGGGCTAGGACAAAGAGGCTGCACAACACAACACTGGACAAGGTAGAGAAAGATCTGGCCACAGTAGAATCCACCCATAAAACAAACCCCACTACGGCAACACATAAGCGACTGATGTCGCTTCGTACAACACTACATAGCCTAAACCTCGCTGTAACAGAACGACACTTGAGGTTTTTGAAGCAATCACACTATGTCATGGGTAACAAAGCTGGGAAAATGCTGGCCAACAAAGCGAAACAAACCAAACTGCAATCTAAAATCCCGTATATAACCTCCACAACTGGAGATAAATTATACAACCCCCAAGACATAGTGAACGAACTAGCGAAATACTATGCCACATTATACCAATTAGAAAAAGATCCCTACACACACCAACCGACGGAAGACGAGATAGCACGTTTTCTGGATAGAGTGCCCCTAGCCAGCCTAACACAAGCACAACGAACCCAATTAGAGAACCCCTTCACGGAGGAGGAAGTAGAAACAGCAATCAAATCCCTTCCCAAACATAAGGCCCCAGGACCAGACGGGATATCCAACTACTACTACATAAAACTGACCAAACAACTACTCACGCCTCTCACCAACCTATTTAATCACATAAAAAATGCAGGGACTATGCCCACGGAAATGCTGGAGGCACATATAGTGACGCTACCCAAACCCAATAAACCCCCCACACACTGTGCAAACCTACGCCCGATCTCCCTTCTGAACGCAGACACCAAACTGTATGCCAAACTCCTCGCTTCTAGAATTAAACCAATCCTAGCTGACCTTGTCTCGGAGGAGCAAGCGGGCTTTGTCCAGGGACGTCAAGTAGGGGACAACACTAGACATTTCCTGAATCTGATTGACTGGGCGAACACCTCGCATCAAGCGGGACTCTTGCTAGCGTTGGACGCTGAGAAGGCGTTTGATCGCCTACACTGGAGGTATATGTTGCTCACCCTCACCAAAATGGGATTCCCACCAACCTTTAGATTAAGCATAATGGCACTGTATCAAAACCCCTCAGCAAAAGTTTTTAGTACGGGCTTTGTATCAGACAGGTTCGCCATAAGTAATGGCACCAGGCAAGGATGTCCCCTCTCCCCCCTAATATTTATCCTATGTCTGGAACCACTAATAAGGATAGTAAAAAATGATCCCAATATAAAGGGGCTACACACCCAGGGGGGCGATAAGAAATTGGCTCTGTTTGCCGATGACATACTACTGTTTGTCACAAAACCGGAGACCTCCCTTCCCACTCTAATGAGAACGCTGGTAGACTATGGGGAGATATCGTACTATAAAAACAACTTAACCAAAACGCAAGCTCTACCCATAAACCTACCAAAACCTACGTTAGACAGGATAAAGCCACAACATCCCTTTGACTGGCGCACCAATTCCTTAAAATACTTAGGTGTAAACCTCACCAAATCCCTTCAAACGGTGACCAAAGAAAATCACTACCCCGTGCTAAAGAAAATCAAATCCTCCCTCGAACAGTGGGCTAACATGGATACCTCATGGCTCGGACGCATCAACCTAATTAAAATGATGACACTGCCACACATCCTATACCTATTCAGAACCCTGCCCATATTCCTCCCGACTGCGCTGCTCAAACAATTCCAAAGCACGATCAATGCTCACATATGGAAGAGGAAACCCCCGAGAGTAAATAAAGGGTGTCTGGGACTTCCTTATGTCCAAGGTGGACTGGGGATGCCGGACGTAACTGCGTATTATAGGGCCTCTTTCTTGGCACAGGGAATGCGACTCATTAGGAACCATACCCTTCCTCGTAAACCGCTTTGGCTGTCATTAGAAAATGAATGCCTAGAGGCACATGATACAGTCCATTACTTGTGGACATGTTCCTTGCCCGAACATCCGCCGGCATAACCCTGAGATGCTCGAGCACTATGCTTAAAGCATGGAAGACATGGTGTCCGAAGGTGCTAGACCCGGTACGATTATTTAGGGAAGCACCCATCACGACACTAGCAGCCTACTCCCCAGGCATACAGGTGGGCAAATGGCTCAACAAGGGAGCGAGATTAGTGAGGGATTTAATGTCAGGAGACGCGGTGAAACCATTCCCTGAATTGAAAGAGGAACTGGGGTTAGACTCGAGAGATCTGTACCTTTATTTAAGGATCAAAAACATAATACTAACCCATGGTAAACAAACAGTCGCCCGAACTAACTCTCCGGTACTCCAACCAAGCCACTTATCACTGACAAAAGCAGTAAAACCACTCTCCCTATGTTACAATGCGTTGGTCACAGATAACACTCCAGATAAACTAAAATACATGGCAAAATGGGAGCAGGACCTGGGATTTCAAATCTCCCAAGCAGACTGGCAGTCTGCAAGGGCAAATACAAAACAGGCATCGAGTAGTCTCTCGCTGTGGGAGGCCTACTGCAAGATAACTATGAGGTGGTATCTGGTACCACAGAGACTAGCAAGTATGTACTCAGGAGCTTCGAACTTGTGCTGGAGATGCGAGTCGGACACTGGAACCATGCTACATGTGTTCTGGAAATGCCCGCTGCTAGACAGATTCTGGAAACAAATCCAAACCCTGATCTCAAGTACGACTGGCACCTCCATCCCATTACGACCGGACAAGTACTTATTACATGTTATACCAGACCTAGACACACACCCTCACAAAAAAGTGATTCTGAATATACTGACGGTAGCAAAAGTAGCCTTAGCTGGTAACTGGAAAAGCAAACAAGTTCCTCAGGTAGAGGTGATTATCAACAAAATGAATGTGATTAGTATATACGAGAAAATGGCTAGCAAGCTAAAAGGATGCCTAGGAAAGTATGATAAAGAATGGGTATGTTGGACGGCTACATAGTCACTGAATGACAATTAAGACAAGCCGACTGCTCGAAACAAACGGTTAACCCCCATAGCGGGCCAGTAAGGAAGCACACAGGTGCAAACATTAGGGGGCCAAAGGGGTCAGGGCGTTGAGGTGCCCAGGCGAATATATAGTCTCACCAACCTCACAAATTGCACAAGGAAGGTGTTCATAATGTACTGCAGGCTGTGGCGTGAAGCTGTGATCAGGGATTTCCCCCCCCTCCCCCCCTTTTTTCCTTCTGTACCCCATCCCCTCCCTAGTTATATCTAAAAAATGTACCGCATGCTTTGAAGCTGTATGCATCACACCGAACATCACCTGGCATACGGATTATTGTATATTCAATTGGTTATTGGTTTAATGGAGTGAGAAGTATGGCTGGATACAGGGCGAAATGTAGAATGTTATCCGCAAATGCTGTTGTAAAAGCGGACTGTAATTATGTACCATGTTATGTGTTGCAAATGTCATTCAATAAAAATGATAAATGAGAAAAATAGTAAAATCTGGGAATTTACAAAAGGTCCACCTTGTGATTGTCTGAGTATAAACGTTTTGAAGTCTGGTAAAAGTCATCTTGAAACACAAGTTTATTGATTAACGGCAGCATTTAAATAGATTTAAAAACAGCTAATTAGTGTCTGTAACGTAAGTTGATGATATTACCGCATCAGATATTTTAGTCTTAAAGGAACACTATAGTGACAGGAATAAAAAAATCTATAGAATGTAAGCTCGTTTAAGCAGGGTCCTCTTCAACCTATTGTACCTGTAAGTTTTCTTGTTATTGTCCTATCTATAGTTAAATTCCCCCTCCCGTAATATTGTAAAGAGCTACGGAATTTGTTGGCGCTATATAAATGGCAATAATAATAATAATAATATATTCCTGTCACTATAGTTATGAAAACATATTTTAGGCCATCAGCCACTAGAGGTGTTATTAGACAGCAATGTAAACACTTCCTGATAAAAGCCTGCAGGGACTGACTATACTCACCAGAACAGCTACATAAAGCTGTAGTTGTTCTGGTGACTATACTGTCCCTTTAATTTTGCAGTTTGGTTTAAAATTGACTGCACATTGGTGTTTACTCAGTAAACCTCTGAATCGGCAGCAAAACAAAAACTACATTATTCAACTCCGACTGCTCTAGTCAGTGAAAAGTTATATACTATTAAAAAAAAAATCCAACTTGCGTTTTGTTGTATATTAGTAACAAGCAGAAATTCACAGCACCTCTCTTTTTGGCTGCAATGTAACGGACGTATAGACCCACACATGAAGGCCAACATGCTATTGAGAGAGACAGAGAAAGAGAGAGTGTGTGTGTGGTGCTTATTAACCATTTAAATGCTTCAGTTAAGCCCACTTCTGGAGGCAGTGAAGATACAGGTTTCCTTTATGACCAAACGTCAGTAAGTAAAATCAGAAGCTGATCCATTGAATAAAGTTTAAAAAAAATGAAAAATTGTGCTGTTTCACACAGGAGCCGCATACGGTCAAAAACCTAAAAGCCTTTTATGCAAACAGTGCACTTGATTATAGAAAACTTACAATTACATGAAAAAAAATTCTATAAATACAGTTTGACTAGCTACTAACTTCTAAATCCTAGAAAAATTAGCCAAACCCTGTTGTAAACCGCCCCCTGTTAGATAAGTAAAAAAAGTTATATG